ATAGTGCAGAACTGTAGACAGGCACAACAGCTCACCGCACAACAATATGAGAGTCAATTGGCAGAGCAGGGCATGAGATGCTCTCAGTGCTCTGGGGAGGAGTGTGTGTGTGTGTGTGTGTGTGTGAAGGCATTCTGGGATGGTGATATCTGAGCTGTGACTTAATTAAGAAAGTAGGAGGTGATCAGGGCTTGGGACCAGGCAGGGCAGAGAAGGGCATTCCCAGCAGGAAGGAAGGGCGAGGATGGGCCTGAAGGGCCAAGCACCCTAGGCAGTAGGGAACTGTTAGTCACTTAACAGACATTTCCTGAGTGCCAACCACGTGTCATGTCGGGCACTATGCTTGATACGCAGGATACAGAGGTGAGCACAATGGACACCAGTTCCTGTCCTCATGAAGCTTATAGTTTAGTGCAAGCATGTCAAACTCAAAGGCTAACACGGGCCAAATAAATGAGGCATGTGGCCCACGGGCCGTGAGTTTGACATGCTTGTTCTGGAGGAATAGAACTCTTTTAAAGATGAGGAGTGATTTGACTTGAACCTTTAAAGCTGGAAGGGCTTCACAAGGACACAATCACCCAGTTGAAAAGTGAGGAATTTATTTGAGAATTACTTAGGGGCCTAGTTAGGGGCGGAAATGGGCAAGACTTGGTGCCTGACTGTGTGGTGGGGGACGGGGACAATGTGTCCCAGGTGGTTCTGAAATTTATACCATAGACCAGTGGTTCTCAACCTTCCTAATGCCGCGACCCTTTAATACAGTTCCTCATGTTGTGGTGACCCCCAACCATAAAATTATTTTCGTTGCTACTTCATAACTGTAATTTTGCTACTGTTATGAATCGTAATGTAAATATCTGATATGCCGGATGTATTTTCATTACAAATTGAACATAATTAAAGCATAGTGATTCATCACAAAAACAATATGTAATTATATATTTGTTTTCTGATGGTCTTAGGCGACCCCTGTGAAAGGGTCGTTTGACCCCCAAAGGGGTCACAACCCACAGGTTGAGAACCGCTGCCATAGACGGATGGGGTTATACCTACTGGAATCAAGAACAAAGGTAGAATGTATAGAAGGTTTGGTGGAGGGAGTTTAGCTTGGACTTGCTGAGCGAGATGGACATCTCTGTATGGAGACAATTTAGCAGCAGTTTGGCCATACAAGTCCAAAGACCAAAGAAGAGATTCAGAGACATACATTTTATAGCATATAGGTGATCATTCCTCTCACAACAGTGAAAGGAATTGTCTAATGAAAACATGAAACATGACAGGAAGACCTGAAGTATGTCTAAAATTAAGGCACAAAAGAAAAAAAAGTCATGAAGGGAAGAAGAAGGAAAAAAGCCACCAAGGGACAGCTTCATTCAGGTGGAAGGAGAGCCTGGGAAGTTGCAGTGTGTCTGTGGGAAGGTTGCTGGGACAGTGTAACTCACTGAGCTCTGGTGGAGTGCTGAGTATGCCCTCTGCGTTGTGCTGAGCCAGGAAAGAACAAGACAGGGAAGATTCATATCCTAGCCTGGCCCTGGAGGAGCCTGTAGCTAAGGAGGTCATCCCTTCTATGTCACTACTTGACATTGACTCTCAATGTCAAGTTAGAGTATAGACTCCATGATCTCAAAGGTCTTTCCAGCCCTGGTTTTTTCATCTAGCCCAGTGGGTATCTCTTGGAGAAGTGGTTCTCAAACACTTAAAGAATCACATACCCCTTTGAGAATCTGATGAAAATGATGATAGTTATGGACACTATCCCCTTGGGGGGGGGAGCAAGTATGTACATAAGCACAATTATTGTTAAATTAAGACTCCCCCTTCTATAGAATGTCCATGAACTTTAGATTAGGACCTCTTGTCTTCACAGACTTTCAGTAGATGAGAACATAGACATTGCTTACTCTGAAATGATATACGTTGAGAAAAGAGCCTCTTTGGGACTTAATTTAGAACCATGACTAAGGTTTGCTGTACATCTAATGCAATGCATCACTGATTTTATTCTGTCAGCTTTATTTTACAAGTGGCCCCAAGCAACTCACAACTTCACAGATATATGATGTACATAATCAAATGCACATATTTTATTTTAAAAATAATAATGATGTTCGGTGTAACCACATTACAGTCACAGGGATATGATCTTGCAACTGAGATTCTCTAGTGGATGGATTTGGGGGGAGTTCTTTCTGATTAGGGCTGTCCTACATATTTATACTCGAAGAGTTCATGAGCTATTTCTGGTCCTGAGACTTTAATCATGCCTAATGAACTGAGCTAAACATAATTCTTGTTCTGTTTTGGTAACCTTGTGGATTCGCTTAATGCTCAGCTTCATGTGAAGACACTGTTCTTGAAATGCTAATATCCAAAATGCTAATTCAAGAGAGGGCCACAAAAGTTAGATTTCATTTCAGAGGAAGTGCACTCAGTACTCACAGGCCTTCCCAGGAAGAGCAAGGCGGTGAGAAGAATGAGATTAGGTGGAAAATATTGGCTCCTACCTTTGGAGAACACAAAAATTTAAACATATAGGTTGCACAAAATTTGGATAAACTGAGGTGGAATCCAACATTTCTTGCATGAATGCCTGTATAATGTGGCGATAGCTGTGAGAAAAGAGAAGCCCGGCATCTAAGACCCAACACAATGAAAATGCAATGAATCGGAATGCCTCACAGATCATAGTGGAATCAGAATTTCCAGCAAGGAAAATCTTTTCATGGTGAATTAAGTGGTGGATGAAGAAAAATGGTGATGAAAAAAGGTAGGCACAGATCACAAACACTGGGCTCAGGGCTCACCGCTGAAGATTTAAGAACCTTAGCTAAAGCTATGCAGAATAGAATGTGGGAAATTGAATTTACTAAACAATTAAGCATTGAATTAATCTACATCCTGCACAGTAGAAAAGTGGGGGAGGGAGCAGAGCAGAGCGGAATAAATCAGCGGAGCTCATTAAAAGATAGTGAATATATCAGGTCTGTGGTAGCAGAAAGGAGGACAGTTTTCTGTGTCGCTTGGCATAATTCTTTGGTTCTAAGTCACCTTTCTAGAGTCCTAGTCTTAATCAGATTAACAAACATGCTTCTGATGAGGTGAGTCTCTTGCTCTGTATTTTAGCTTGTTACCACTCGCTTGCCTATTAATTACAAGTCAGATCAGCAGTCCACAAGAGGAGTGAGGGACAACATAAATAACATGAGAGTGCCCAGGAGATGTCACTCACAGGATGGCGTGCATCCCGAAACTCCCCCGGGTTCCTGCAGCCTCCCACATGCCTTGCTGGTCTTTTGTTCAATTACAGTTAATGCAATAGTTTGCCATTTTCTCCTTCTAATTATATTTTCAAGTGGGATTTGTAGCACATAGAAAAACATCCTTTTACATGTCGAGGCACCGGGGTTTTGTGCCTGGCATTGTCTGTCCCCTGGGTGCTGTACCATTCTTTCTGCAGAGCTCTGAATAAACAAGTCCCCCTTTTAGAGCTGCAGTTGTCCAAACTGAAAATTTATGCGTTAACTGTTTGCATTCTGAGCATGTGTTCCAGATTACGGCTTACAGCATTCTCCTGGTATGCTGAAGAATGCGTGTTTGTCCAGAGCACTTCTGCCACAGTTCCCCTATCTTCCCATTATAGGACGGGCAGGTCAATTAGCACCATTGCTGAGAATAAGCATAATGTCTGAGTCCAACCTACCAGGGGCGAATCTTCCTGTGACTTTATTTCATTTTCCAGGCCGCGTTAATCTTCTGGCCACGAATCAGTTGCAGGCCAGCATCCTGCTCAGGGACAGTCACTCTCTCCCTGATTCTTACAGAACATGCCTCTTAGGTGGCATCTTTCCTTCTTTCTCCCTGGCTGTCTAAAACATGTTGATCTCTTCAGCCCCCCACTTATCTTCTCTGGGACAAGAAAATGCTTTTCAAGAAATTAGCAAAGAGCGCTTGGGTTTTGCGGCGCGTATTTAAAATCCTGGGAGGGCTGATAAACTTGACCACTGACGACACAGGGATGACCCATTGACGTCCTGTGACTGAAAGTGATGTGGACATAGTTTACACACAAGATCACCCTGCTTTCCCACTAATCGTCTGGAAGACAAATACCGCTTCCTGGAAGACAAAGCCAAGAGCCAGCTCTCAATTTTGCATCATCCCTCCTGTGCGGATGACCAGTGACTCAGAAGGCTGTTTTTGAAAGCTAGCACTAAAATCTAATTAAAATCTCTTCTGGTGATAAAGGGAGATTTGGGGGAAGTGTCACCATGATTGTTTTCCCCAAGAATTTAATTTACAGCCAATTTTTTCCTATCTGAATGTTACTTTCAAATGCACCCACTGATAAGGAGCAACATCTGTTTTCCGTTCAATGGTACATGAAGGCTCGGCATGGGGCTGAGTGTACACAGCCCATGTGAATCTATTGTTATTCTCATTTCTTTTTTGTCCCTGTGCCTGGTCCATTTGCCATGTACCATCCGGCAAACAGCTGACACGTCCTCGCTATTATGGACCCCGGCCTAATTATGAGGTCTTAAAAGCTCTGCCATGTTTGTCTTCCAGGATGAATCAGAGGCCTCTATCTATCACCGCAGCCTCACAGACCACCACTCTCATTTTTGCATTTTCCGAGTAGCAGGCTGTTGTGCCAGAGGGTTTGTTGATGTTAAAAAAATAGTCTGGATCAAGTGGCAGCCTTTCTCTCCCCCCAGACCCTCCTTCTTGCTTGGAATGTTTTTGTTTTCCTTGGTAATAAAGCATGCAATTACTTACAGAATAACTATTTGTACATATCATTTCAGCTTAGAAGCCGAAATGGGCCAATTTTCAATGTGCCCGTGGAGCTCTGAGCTGGCACCATTTGCTCAGGGGGATGGGGAAGATGGCACAGCTGTCCCTCCTACCTTCCGTGGCTCTGTTGTGGGATGGGATCTGGTGGGACCAGTGTGACCAGACCACTCCATTTGGACTTCTGATTTGTGTCCCCACAGCCCTCTTGGAACAGAGATCACGACGACACAGCATCAACCCGTTCGGGAGGCACCCCGGGCCCTTCCAGCGGTGGCCACACATCACACAGCGGGGATAACAGCAGTGAGCAAGGTAGGACAGCTGTTCTCCTCATTCTCCTTTGCTACGTGTTTCATGTTTAAGGGTTGAAAAATCAGAATAGTCTAGTTGGTGACTATGATACAGCTTTTCCTAGAACATAAACCCCATGTAATACAAGAATCCGCTCATCTTATTGTATGCCCCTGTCCTTTCATTCTTCTGTGCCAGGCCAGCTGCCTGCCTGTCACCTGGGCACCACCATCAAACAAGGCCTGTGATCAACTGAGGGCAAGACTGGAGTAGTAAAAGTTGGAATGTATGTGGACAGTATGCTACTAATACTGTGCTATACAAATACATTATTATTATTATTATTATTTGCCCTTAGAGGATTTTCAAGAGCTCATGAAGACACGCCCACTAGGATTCCAAGTTAGCAATGTCGTAAAATGCTTAGAAGGCGGTGGGCCTTTCAGAAACCCATGTTGGGTGTTCCTCTCCACTGGGTTGAAGCCATTTTTCTGAATTTACTTAATCTGAATCTCTTAAGTGCTTGACTTTATTGCAAGGCCAGACTACAGGCAATTAGGAAGAAAGGGAAAGAAATCAGCTCACTTTGATTTGTGCTGCTCTCTGAATACCTGTGCCCACGGATGTACTGGTCTGACCATAACTAAGTAGGAGATGAAGCTTTAGCCTGAAGCTAATCTTCAGCAAGAAGGTGGAGGACTATTCCGATGTCTTGCATTGATTTTGATGAGACCAGCGGCACTGGCTTGGTGTCCAATGAATGCAACCAAAGTTTAAAGGAGTCCCCTCTATCCGAATCTGTAAAGACAGCTGTATTGAGGTTGACTGAGCCCACAGTAGGCACATACTTTACAATAGGCTTTGATGATCACATGTCATTGGAGTGCTGGTAAAGAATTTAGTTTTCTAACTTTAACGCTCTCTACCAATTAGCACTGCAGTCCACAGTGAGGTTAGCATGCTGAGTTTGAAAACAAAAACAGGAAAGTTAATTTTTTTTGTGGGCACATGTATGCTATCTGGACTGGGAGTCACTTTTTTAGGCATCTGAGACATTTTCTAGTTCAAAGCAAAGTCGCTGACTTCATCACAACTCTCAGGCCAGTAAAAATGGAGCCCGGAATAGTAAACTGGCTCGGAGCTGAGGCAGAAAGAGGTGACCTCGGCCCTCTGACTTTTACTGCAAAACGATACGCAGCACAAATCC